GGTTCCCGGGAGCCCTTACCGACCACCTATTGTGAAAGGGCCACGGGGTGGGCCCCTCTGGTTCCCGGGAGTGATCGACCACGTATTATGAAGGGGCCACGGAGGACTCCCCGTGGTCCCCGGGAACCCTATCGACCATGGTCCTCCATGGCCCCTTCACAATAAATGGTCGATTCCCGGGAACCCCGGGAACCCCGGGAACCCCGGGAACCCTGGCCAATAACCCCGGGAACCCCGGGAACCGGCCCCGGGAACCCCGGGAACCCCGGGAACCCCGGGAACCCCGGGAAGCCCGGGAAGCCCGGGAAGCCCGGGAAGCCCGGGAACCCCGGGAACCCCGGGAACCCCGGGAACCCCGGGAACCCCGGGAACCCGGGAACCCCGGGAACCCCGGGAACCCCGGGAACCCCGGGAACCCCGGGAACCCGCTCGTTTCCCGGGAGCCCTTATCGACCATCTATTGTGAAGGGGCCACGGAGGACCCCCCTGGTTCCCGGGAGCCCTTATCGACCATCTATTGTGAAGGGCCACGGAGGACCCTCCCCTGGTTCCCGGGAGCCCTTATCGACCATCTATTGTGAAGGGACCACGGAGGACCCCCTCCTGGTTCCCGGGAGCCCTTATCGACCATCTATTGTGGTTAGGGGCCACGGAGCCCTTATCGACCATCTATTGTGAAGGGGCCACGGAGGACCCCTTCTTCCCGGGAGCCCTTATCGACCATCTATTGTGAAGGGCCACGGAGGACCCCCTGGTTCCCGGGAGCCCTTATCGACCATCTATTGTGAAGGGGCCACGGAGGACCCCCCTGGTTCCCGGGAGCCCTTATCGACCATCTATTGTGAAGGGGCCACGGAGGACCCCCCTGGTTCCCGGGAGCCCTTATCGACCATCTATTGTGAAGGGGCCACGGAGGACCCCCTGGTTCCCGGGAGCCCTTATCGACCATCTATTGTGAAGGGGCCACGGAGGACCCCCCTGGTTCCCGGGAGCCCTTATCGACCATCTATTGTGAAGGGGCCACGGAGGACCCCTCCTGGTTCCCGGGAGCCCTTATCGACCATCTATTGTGAAGGGGCCACGGAGGACCCCCCTGGTTCCCGGGAGCCCTTATCGACCATCTATTGTGAAGGGGCCACGGAGGACCCTCTCCTGGTTCCCGGGAGCCCTTATCGACCATCTATTGTGAAGGAGCCACGGAAGACCCCCTTGGTTCCCGTGAGCCCTTATCGACCATCTATTGTGAAGGGGCCACGGAGGACCCCTTCTGGTTCCCGGGAGCCCTTATCGACCATCTATTGTGAAGGGGCCACGGAGGACCCCCTGGTTCCCGGGAGCCCCTATCGACCATCTATTGTGAAGGGGCCACGGAGGACCCCTTCTGGTTCCCGGGAGCCCTTATCGACCATCTATTGTGAAAGGGCCACGGTGGACCCCCCTGGTTCCCGGGAGCCCTTAACGACCATCTATATTGAAGGGGCCACGGAGGACCCCCTCTGGTTCCCGGGAGCCCTTATCGACCATCTATTGTGAAGGGGCCACGGAGGACCCCCCTGGTTCCCGGGAGCCCTTATCGACCATCTATTGTGACGGGGCAACGGAGGACCCCCCCTGGTTCCCGGGAGCCCTTATCGACCATCTATTGTGAAGGGTCCACGGAGGACCCTCCCCTGGTTCCCGGGAGCCCTTATCGACCATCTATTGTAAAAGGGGCCACGGAGGATCCCCCTAGTTCCCGGGAGCCCTTATCGACCATCTATTGTGAAGGGGCCACGGAGGACCCCCTCTGGTTCCCAGGAGCCCTTATCGACCATCTATTGTGAAGGGGCCACTGGAAGCGCCCTGGCGTTCCCCCCCGCGCCCCTTCCTTCTCCTTTCTCGGCCCCACGGATTGCTGCTGCTGCTGTTGTTGCTGGTTCCACTGCCTCGCGCCCCCTCGCCATTGGAATCTCGGCTCAAACCATGTCCGCGCGCTCAGTGCCCCATCTTGTCGCGCAGTGGCTGTGATCGCGTCGCTCCGCTTTCGCCATGTCACGTTTCCCCTGGTTGCCTGGCGTCCGCGCATGGTGCCCTGACCTTGCTCAGGAGTTTGGAACTCCGCCAGCCCCCTCGCCGCTGCAAGGGCGTGGTAGCATTATTGGACAGTGGGTGCTGGCAATGCTGTATCTCGGTTGGAGATCCCATGATATTATGGCATTCATGTCGCAGGCGGGATGGTCTCCCACCGACCGGCACGCGATCGTCGGGCAGATGCTCCACCACTACAATCGCGAAGTCGAGGTGGACTTATTCGACTGAGTGGCCGGCAAGCACCTGCCCGCAAGCTCGTTGACTGGCTTGCCCTCGATGCACCTTAGCGTTGCTTCCCACTTCTAGCCATGCGGTGAATCAATACTGGTCTCTGTGCGCCCCCGATCTGGATGGCCCGCGCGTGGACCTGATCGATCAGATATATGGCCCACGCCTAGACCTTACCGACCCTCTCTTGTGAGGAGCATCGGCAGGCCCAAACCTCGCCTGGCACGCAGCTTTAGTGAAGGGCCACGGAGGACACCCTTTGGACCTCATCGACAAGATTCTGCGAGGGCCCACGGAGAACCCCCTCCAGGACCTGATCGATCAGCTTTTGCGAAGGGGCCACGGAGGTGTCCCTCTCCGAATCTTCTGGACCCACGTAGGACCCCCCTCGCTTCCCGGGGGCCTTATCGACTAGCTTTTCTGAGCGGCCGCGGGGGAAACCTCCCGCTTCCCCGGAGCTTCATCGACCAGCTAATGTCATGGGGCCACAAGGAGCCCACGCGTCCCCCACCAGCCCCTATCGACCAGAAATTGCGAGGGGCCCTCAGGGGGCCCACGCGCCCCCGCCAGTCTTTACCGACCAGCTATTGTGAAGTGGGCCACGGGGAGCCCGCGCGCCCGCCCGCCAGTCCTGACCGCCCAGCATGTTGTGAGGGGCCACTGGCAGCCCACGCGTCCTGCATCAGTCCTATCGACAAGCTAGTGCGAGGCCACAGGGAGCCCACGCGCCCCCTATAGGCCATTGTCGACAAGCTATTGTGCTGGGTACTACATGTGTCCTCTGCTCTCCAGCCCTCCGCCACCTCTCTCTGTCTTCTTCAACTTCCCCCTGCATTCTCCCCCCGCGCTCTCCCACGCAGCCGTTTTACTGTAGCTGTCGGCTCAGATATATGTCAAGCAGTTGTCGGCCGCCGCGATGGCGTTGCCCGCGGGCCCAGGCGCTGCTGGCAGCCTCTGCGTTGTCACTCGATCTGAGCCGCAGTGCGACATCAACGCGGATGGCACCGACGAGAGACGCGACATGTCGCACTGGTCGCCGATCCTTGCAGAGGGCGTCGAGCTAGGGGCGCCCAGCACGCGCTGTCTGGAGTCGGCTGAGGCTGGAGCGCACGGGGGAACCGTCGCCGACAAGGGCGCCGAGAACGAAGATAATGGTACCGACCAGTCGGCGCACGTCGACGTGGACAGGGAACGCGGTGCCGGCGTTCGCAGAATATTCCTTCTTTCGCTTGCACGACTGTGGGCGTTAGAACAGGCGTCTGGGCGGAAGCACATGGAATGCACCATCGCGAAGGGCCGCTTCATGCGCGTGAGTACTTCAGATCTCATCATTGTGGTCCAGAGCGACAGTCGCGGCCAGGTCGTCGCTGTATGCGAAGCCGCTGGGCCCGCCACTACGGGCAGTGATCCCGAAGTGCTGCGCGGCACGGTGATAACATCGCTGTGGACTGATCTGTGCAACTACCTCCACCGGAGCAGGGCAGAGCCGAAGTATTTCGAGTACGTGCAGATGGCTCGAACATGGGACGCGCGCGGTCTGCGCATCTCCGCTGGCGGATTGTGCGCCGCCATCGGCGCCCGTGCGCCGAAGCGCGGATGGGGCGCGCGGATGGATCTGGTCTCGGACGAAGCCGCGGTCTACAACTCCCTTCTCACGCAACTCGCGGACTGCCAGTGCCACGTGAAGACGAACACCAGTTGTGCGGACAGCGCCGCGCCAGGGGCGCCGCGCGCGGAGAGGGGCGACTCGGGGCGGAAGCGCTCTCGACCGCAATGCGACGCGCTGCAGGTTGATCAGAGCAGCGCGCCGAGGGAGGATCCGAAGCTGCCGCGCCGGACACGCGGGGCATTGAGCAGCTCGGCGGCGGGAGACGCGCATGCAGACTGAATCCCGTGGGGGGCGTGAGTCAGCTCGCGGTGCATTGAGCAGCTCGGTGGCTGACGCCATGAGCTCCCGTTCAACTGCCATGGTATTGGCTCGGGAGGCATTCGTGCCTCACCTTCTCTTCTGCGATTGCAAGCCGATGTACATATGCTGCTTGAATGCTCGCGGATGGTTGCCCGCGTTGTTGGTTTCTTTGCTGATGGTTACTTCTGCTGTTTTTCGGTCAGGGATAGCGTTGCGAATGACTCGATGACTATCGCCATCGCTCATCGGCTTCCGTCGCTTGGCTCCAGGGCTTTTTCGAACAGCTATAACCCAGGGCCACAGAAGGCCCCAAAGGTCCCCCTCGGCTTTTATCGACCAGCTATTGCGAGGGGCCTCAGGGAGCCCGCCCGCTTCCAACCGGCCCTTATCGAACAGCTATTGCGAGGGGGCACAGGGAGCTCACGCGCCCCCCATCAGTTTGCATTGTCCAGCTATTGCGAGGGGCCACAGAGGCCCTCCAGCCCCCCCCCCCGCTCGAGCTGATCGACCAGCTCTTGCCAGAGGCCATAAAGGCCTTGCGGCCCCTCACCCCCTCTTGAGGTTATCGATCAGTTACTATGAGAGGTCACTGAGGGCACTCCCCCGGCTGTGCCTACCAGCCATTGTCAAGGGCCTCAGAGGGCCCCTCGGGGCTTATCGATCAGCTACTCTGAGGGTCCACCCTCCCTTCCCGCGGCCCTCCTGCGGCCCTCTCCCGTGTGCTTCGATTCGCCTCAGGCGTTCTTTGTGCTGCTGTTGCTGCTGCTTTTCGCCGATGTCATTCTGGCTCAAACCTCAATTGCCGCACTCGTTCTTGTGCTATTTGATCACTGTAGCTGCCATTGGCCCTGATCGCGTTTCTCCGCACCCGCCATGCCAGGCATGTTTGACAAACTGCGCTCCGCGCGTGCCGCCAGTGCGCCGGCGGGCGCAGGCGGGGCCACTGCAGCAGCTGGCGGGGCCAAGAAGCGTTTGTCGGAGTTGACGTCCGCGGAGCCCGCGCGCAAGGCGGCTGCCCCGCGGCGCCCAGACAGCGCCCCGGCATCGCTGTGCATCTTCCCCTACGGCACCAACGCGGCTTCCCACATGGACTCCTGGGCCGCAGGGCAGCGAGTCTTCCAGGTGCAGGTGGTGCACGATGCGTATCCGTCTCTCGTGACCGACATAGTTCCCGCAATGAACGCGTTCCTGTCGCAGGCGAGCACTTCGGAGGAGGATCCGAAGACGATCCAGGATCTCACCACCAAGTGCGGAGTACGCATGCAGATCACTCGGCCCAGCTCGGTCTCCGTCGCGCCGATTGTCTCCTGGCGCGTCGGCTTCTATATCCCAGGCGGCGCTCAGCAGCTCTCGGCGCTCGTGGACATGTTGTTGGACTACGTCGAGTTCCGCGTGAACGGCGGCTACACAGGGAAGGAAAAGAAACCGTTCCCACACGCCCACGAGCAGAGCGTCAAGGTCTTCCGCTCCGACGGCGTGCCTCCGCTGCAATTGGACTGCAAAGCTCACAGCCTGGCAGTCGAGGTCGCAGACGGCGTCGACGGCTCGCCAGTGAAGTCGGCCTTCGAGATGAGCGGGCCGCTCGGGGACAAGTGGCTCGTTCTCGACGTGGAAGTCGTCGATGAGACACACGTCTCGCTTGGCTGGACTGGGCGCACGTGGGGGCTGCGGCAGGCATTCGAGGACGCAGGCATCCCGCTCTGCGAGGATGGCGACGGGGGGTTCGTACGCGTGGTGACGGGGGAGATGGGCAAGGTGGAGTCCGAAGAGGACCGCGAGGGCATCCTCAGGATCATCACGGAGGACTTGCACAGCTTTCCCTGCCTGGTGCGCGCCGAAGACGCACCCATTGAGAATGACAAGGACTTCTCCGCAGTGGCCGCATTTCTGAAGAAGCTCCGCGAGTTGCCGCACATCCTTCTTGTGAAGGACAACGCGCAGTCGGCCTGATTGAATTGCGGCGACGTGAAGAAGCATCGGCGAGTGTAGAGCCCAAACATATATGGACTTCTCGTTGCTGGCATTTCGGCTGGCCGCACCGCCGAGCGCGTGGTGGGGAACCATAGCGCGCTCTGCGCTCGACTGCGAATTTGCTTCGCGATGGCATGGTTCAGGTGCGCATTCTACATGTAAGAGACCTCCAGTGATCATCGTCATCTGGAATTCACACAGCCAGGCCACACTGCATCGACACGCTATCGCTGAGGGGCTATACAGCGGCACTCCAGGACTTCCCTTGGTGTCATCCTGGGGCCCTCGATCTCATCGACTCGTTCTGGGGACCATCGCTCTTCCAAACCTTTCTTACATTGCGAATGTAATCACAGGTTGCGGCTTTCCCGGGGCTCTCCTGGAGACATGCCGGGCCTCACCGGCAAGCCATTGCAAAGGGCCCTGGGGGTTTATCCCCCCCCCCCCCCCATCAGCGCCCATCGACCCGACGTTGCGAAGGGCCCGCAGTCTGGCCTTCTCGGGGCTTTCGATGTCAGGCGCTCTCCCGTGGGCATCGACTCTCTGGCTTCGGGGGTTGAAATCGATTTGAAAATTATCGCCATCGTTCATCGGCTGCCGTCGCGTGGCCCCCGGGCTTCTCGACTAGCTATATCCCAGGGCCACAGGGAGTCCTCAAGTTCGCCCCCCCCCCCATGGCGTTCATCGACCAGCTATTGCGAAGGGCCCTAGTGAGCCCGCCCGCCTCCAGCCAGCCCTCGTCGAACAGCTATTGCGAGGGGCCACGGGGAGCCCACGCGCCCTTCACCAGTCCTATTCCACCAGCCATTGCGATGGGTCACAGGGAGCACGCGCGCCTCCCATCAGTTCGCATCGACCAGCTATTTCGAGGGGGCCCAGAGATCTCCAGCCCCCTCCCTCCTTTGAGCTCATCGACCAGCTCTTGCGAAAGGCCACAGAGGCCTTGCGGCCCCCACCCCCTCTTGAGGTTATCGATCGGCTATTGCGAGAGGCCGCTGAGGGCGCTCCTCTGGCTGCGCCGACCAGCTATTGTCAAAGGCCTGAGAGGGCCCCTTGGGGCTCATCGACCACCTCCTCGGAGGGTCCACCCTCCCTTCCCGCAGACCTCCTGCGGCCCTCTCCCGTGTTCTTCCATTCGCCTCAGGCGTTCGTTGTGCTGCTGTGTCTGCTGCTTTTCGCCGTTGTCCTCTCGGCTCAAATTTCATTTTGCGCACTCGCCCCTGCGCTGTTTGATCACTGTAGCTGCCATTGGCCCTGGTCGCGCCTCTCCGCGCCAGCCATGCCAGGCATGTTTGACAAACTGCGTTCCGCGCGTGCCGCTGGTGCGCCGGCGGGCGCAGGCGGGGCCGCTGCAGCTACCGGCGGGGCCAAGAAGCGTTTGTCGGAGTTGACGTCCGCAGAGCCCGCGCGCAAGGCGGCTGCTCCGCGGCGCCCAGACAGCGCGCCGGCATCGCTGTGTATCTTCCCCTACGGCAACGACGCGGCTTCCCACATGGACTCCTGGGCCGCAGGGCAGCGAGTCTTCCAGGTGCAGGTGGTGCACGATGCGTATCCGTCTCTCGTGACCGACATAGTCCCCGCAATGAACGCGTTCCTGTCGCAGGCGAGCACTTCGGAGGAGGATCCGAAGACGATCCAGGATCTCACCACCAAGTGCGGAGTACGCATGCAGATCACGCGCCCCAGCTCGGTCTCCGTCGCGCCGATTGTCTCTTGGCGCGTCGGCTTCTATATCCCAGGCGGCGCGCAGCAGCTCTCGGCGCTCGTGGACATGTTGTTGGACTACTTCGAGTTCCGCGTGAACGGCGGCTACACAGGGAAGGAAAAGAAACCGTTCCCACACGCCCACGAGCAGAGCGTCAAGGTCTTCCGCTCCGACGGCGTGCCTCCGCTGCAAATCGACTGCAAAGCTCACAACCTGGCGGTCGAAGTCGCAGACGGCGTCGAGGGCTCGCCAGCGAAGTCGGCCTTCGAGATGAGCGGGCCGCTCGGGGACAAGTGGCTCGTTCTCGACGTGGAAGTCGTCGATGAGACACACGTCTCGCTCGGCTGGACTGGGCGCACGTGGGGGCTGCGGCAGGCATTCGAGGACGCAGGCATCCCGCTCTGCGAGGATGGCGACGGGGGATTCGTACGCGTGGTGACGGGGGAGATGGGCAAGGTGGAGTCCGAAGAGGACTGCGAGGGCATCCTCAAGATCATCACGGAGGACTTGTCCAGCTTCCCCTGCCTGGTGCGCGCCGAAGACGCCCCCGTTGAGGGTGACAAGGACTACTCCGCAGTGGCCGCATTCCTGAAGAAGCTCCGCGAGTTGCCGCACATTCTTCTTGTGAAGGACAGCGCGCGGTCGGCCTGAGCGAATTGCGGCGATGGGAAGAAGTGTCGGCTAGTGTAGAGCCCACACATAGATGTACATCTCGTCACTGTCATTTCGGCTGGCCGCACCGCCGAGCGCGTGGTGGGGAACCATAGCGCGCTCCGCACTCGACTGCGGATTTGCTTCGCGATGGCATGGTTCAGGTGCGCATTCGACGTGGAAAAGTCTTCCAGTGATCATCATCATTTGGACTTCACTTAGCCGGGCCACGCTGCATCGACACGCTATCGCTGAGGGGCTATGCGGCGGCACTCCAGAACTTCCCTTTGTGTCATCCTTGTGCCCTCGAATTTATCGACTCGCTCTGGGGACCATCGCTTATTAGCTTGCGAATGGAATCACATGTTGCGGCTTTCCTGGGCCCCTCCAGGTGACTTGCCGGGCCACGTCGGCAAGCTATGGCAAAAGGCCCTGGGGCTTCCATCCCCCCCCTTCTCCGCATCAGCGCCCATCGACCCGACGTTGCGAAGTGCCCGCGGTCTGGCCTTCTTGGGGCTTTCGATGTCAGGCGCCCTCCCGAGGGCATTGACTTTCCGGTTTCGGGGGGCGCAAACAGCTTTTCTCTGCGCCACTCATCGACTCGCATCTCATGCCACTGGGAGGCTCAGATAGGACTCGGGGCCCCGGGGAGACCTGCGCGCCCGCGCTGGAGCCGCGCGGCGCTCTGGAAAGCACCTCGCATGTGCGGGGCACCAGCGTCGCCCGGCACCCTCTGCGCCTTTCGACTCGCTCCAAGGGTTGCTGCTGCCGTTGCTTCTGCGCTCTACCTCGCGCGCACTATTTCTCCTTTTTTTTTTCTCTCTCTCTCTCTCTCTCTCTCCTTCTCTCCATTGCCGTTCATTTTCGGCTCAAATATCTTCGGGCCCGCTCGGCGATTTGCTCGGCAAGTCTTTTGCGATCGATCTCTCTGCCACCAGCGTGCTGGCATGGAGCCGCGCGCATCAGGCGCGGGAGCTGCGCGGCGGCGCCTGATCGGGAAGCAGAGCCTCGGTGAGCGGCAGCCTTGCCCAGCGATGTCGCAGCCAGCGCGCCTGCAGAGGCGGCCAGCCTCGCGCGCCCCTGCCGCGATGACGATCATCTCTATCCCAGATATGGCTCTCCAGTGCGTCTTCCAGCACGCGTTGTGCGTCGGCACCGTGGCTGACATCTCCAGGGTCTGCCGCGACTGGAGGGCGACCGCACGGGAGCCGATGTGCTGGCGCGGGAAGACGGTGTTCCTCGAAGGGGCGAGCAAAATAAGCCGGGAGCAATTGTCCGCGTGGGTACCTCGATGGCACTCGGCCGAGCGAGTTCACTTGACGCAATCGCAGATGGACCTCCTGGGGGCTCCGCTGAAGGTGCCCCACGCGATCGTGCACTTGTGGCAGTCTGAAAGAAATCGAGTGCTCCACTCCTCTTGGAGGGAGAGAGACGTTGACAGTGATGTGCCAAGGGATGGTATCTCGACATATCCGCTGGGATTCTGGAACGAGATCCAGATCGGGGGCGCCGCGTGCCTTGCGTGCTTGACAGCTGACAGGGTTCCAGACATGGTGCGATTGATGCGCGAAGAGCTCGACGAGGAGGGCGCGGACTTGTGGGCGCCAATTACGGTGGGCTGGACACGCGCGAAGACATTTGTCGAGCTGGCCAACGCGTGCGAGATCTCATTTCGCAGTGGCAGCGTGGGGACACGAGTGTCCGATTGCATGGTGTTCGCGTCGATGTATCCCGATATCGAGTGGGATATGTACATGGATGCTTGGGATCGCATTGGGACGGCGGGCCGCCCACGCGCGCCACCCCTTATGGACACTTGGGGGGGAGGCGGTGCGAGGGTTCCGCTATGCGCTGCACGGCTCGATCGAGAACGCGGCGAGATCCGGATGACCACGGAGGCCAACACCACGCACACCTTCGGCATGCGCGGCCTGTCGCTGCCACTTGCAGGCGAGATGCGTTTTTTCGTTGTCATGCCAGACGATCAGCGACTGCGGCGCGTATTTCGCAGCCACCCTCATCGCGACTTCGTGGAGCTGCCCGTGCCGTTCCTCGCCTCGAGTTTCCGTCCGTCTACCCAGGTCTGAGCGCTGGCTGAAGCCATGCCCCGGGCTGCTAGCGGCGAAAGAAGATGCCGCGCATTTTCTAGGCCGAGCACCACCTCGTCTTGCTGTGATGGCAAGCAGGTGTGCTGGCGCTGCCTGAGTGCTGGCGGATGGTCGCCCGACTCGGCGATAATATCGACATGGGACATTGCATCGCTGTCAGGGCGAGCGTTGCAGTCGACATGGGAACCATCGTCATCGCTCATCGACTTCCGTTGCGCGGCTCTCGGTCTTATCAACCATGTATATTAATGGGCCTCAGAGAGCTCCCCAAGGCGCCCCCCCCCTCCCGCGCGCATCGACCAGCTATATCGAGGGCCACAGGGAGCCCACGCGCCCCGAACCGGCACTTGCCGACCAGCTTTTGTGAGGGGTCACAGGGTGCCCCCCCTCCCCCTCCACCGGTCCGCATCGACCAGCTACTGCGAAGGGCCACAGGGAGCCCGCGCGCCCCCCGTCGGCCCTTATCTACCATCTATCGCGAGGTGCCACAGGGAGCCCACGTGTCCCTCACCGATCCTTATCGACCAGCGATTGCGAGGGGCCTCAGGGGGGCCCACGCGCCCCAAACCGGTCCGTATCGATCAGCTATTGGAAGGAGCCACGGGGCCCCAGGTTGCTCCTCTAACCTCTCCTTGTCCCGCGGCTTACTGACCCGATATGGCGAAATGCTCCACTGCGGCATTTCTCTGACCTTCCGTGATTTTAATCACTTGATGCTGTGAAAGGCGACGGAGCCGTCCTTCCTTCGCAAGGCCTCTGGCCTCTTCCGGGGCTTGCATCGCTTCAGGCTCTTCACGTGGATTCTTCATTGGTGCAGGTCACAGAGGACCTCAACCAACTACGATGGAGGGGCGCAGTGTGGGGCTCTGTTCCGAGATGTCACTTAGGCCTCGCAGTTCTCCGCAAGGCGCCACCGCGGCGCCCATTGCCAGGCTTCCTGGTGCCGTCTAGGAACATCGCCCAGAGAGGCCCCAGGGTGGCACTCTCGATGCGTATCGCTAGCTTGGGGCCCTCGACCGCCCACTCCTCCGACTGCGCTCCTCCCTTTCCCATCCACTCTCGCCCACGCCCTTTGCCAATTCGGCTCGAGGTACTCGCCCGCGGCCCGTCGGATCTCTCCTCCTGCTGCGGCCAGGAGTTGCGCGAGTGGCGCAGCTCGAACCATGGCGCCAGGCCTCGCGCGTCCGACTCGGGGGCGACCAGCGCTGGACTGGGGAACGACGCACGGCTTCTTGGTGGAGGTGGGCGCAGATGGCCCATCTCGTTTCCGCGTCTTCGGCTTCTTCGACGGCTTCACACTGATGCCGCTCACTGATTGGCTCTCGCCGTTTAATTTCTGCGTGTGGTTGATTCTTTGTCAGATACCGCGGATGGAGCACCTTGCCTCGCTGGACTTAGTCCGCCGACTACACTCGCTGGGTCTCGCGGCGACCGTCGACAGGGCCATGACATTCATCATGAGAAATTGCCCCGTGGCGTAGGAGTGCGTCGACAGGACTGCCGAATCCATTGGTAGTTCTCCGCTGCTGCGTCGTTCCCGCGGCGCGCGAAGCGATTGGATGCCATCGTCTCTATCTCTCAGAAGTCACATGCGAGCCCTCCTGGAAACACACCGACGTCGATCGGTCCCCTATGTCGAACGGTTACAGGGCGCCCCATCCTTCAAAGCCCCCCAGGAGCCTCAGGGAGCCCACGAGCCCCTCATCAGTCCTGATCGACCAGCTATTGTGAGGGGGCCATAGGGTGCTCACTTGCCCCCACTAATCCTTCTCGACCAGCTATTAAGAGGGGCCACAGGGAGCCCACTCGTTCCCCACCACTCCCTTTCGACCATCTATTATCAGTGGCCACAGGGAGCCCACGAGCTCCCCGCCAGTCATTGTCGACGAGCGATTGCGAGGGGCCACAGAGGGAGCCCACGCGTCCCCCAGCAGTTCTCATCGACCAGCTATTGCGAGGGACCGCAGAGGGAGCCCACACGCGCCCCACCAGTCCTCATCGACCAGCTATAGCCAGGGGCCACAGAGGGAGCCCACGCGTCCCCCACCATTCCTTTGCTACCAGTTATTGTGAAGGACCACCGAGGTAGCACGCGTGTCCCCCACTAGTCCTTATCGACCAGCTATTGCGAGGAGACAGCTACTGTGAGGGGCCACAGAGAGCCCGCGCGCCCGACCTCTTCTCCGGACTCCAGTCATAAACCAGCGCCGCCATCAATCCATGCATCTTCTTCTCTCCAGCTTTGCTCCCCTTCGGGCGTCGTTTCATGTCACGTCCTCTACTGCATCTTCCCCTGCGCCTTCCCCGCGTTTCTTTTTCTGCAGCCATCGGCCGAGTCTAGTGTCTGCAGACTCAGCCCAGAGGAACTTGTTTTTTCATCGAAGGGCCAGAGCGCTTCAAAGCACTCGGCGATTATACGACTCACTTCACATCACAAGCATTTGCCCGGCGCCGCGATGGAGCCACCGGCAGGCGGCGGAGGCGCCGCTCGCAGCCTCTGTAATAGCATTCGGTCGAGCGGATCGCGAGCCACGGCTGGATGGGATCTGATCGATAGGACGCCACACCTCGAGACGCGGTCGGGCCGATGCGGTCTCGCTTGCACGGAGATCGAGATCCAGCCGTCGAGCGAGGTAATCGCGAGATGCGGCTTGATGGGAACTGATCGACGGGGTACCGCGTCTCCAAACGCGGTCGAGTGGATGCGTTGGCGTTTGCACAGGGATCGATCTCGAGCGATCGAGCGCAATCCCGATGGCGATTTCGTTGGCCGATCGCACGTGCGATTGTGGACTCGATCAGGCTCGGCGGTTTCTGTGTCGGGGACTTCCTTCGGCGATCGCTTCGACGCCCGATAAGGTTGGGCTGCCGACGATGACGGGCAGCGCGCCCCGCCGGCGGCGGCGCTGCAGGGCGGGCCATCCACCGCGGCGCTGGCGGCAGCAACGGCGATGCGTCCGGAGGGGCGCGTGGAGGAAGAGGACGCGGCGGACCCTTCTGGCGATGTCGGGGAGATTGGCGCGGCGACTTCCCAGCTCGCCGCTGTCTCTGGAGACTGCCCGGAGTTCTCCCGC